AGACCCTGGCTCGTCGTGCGCGCGATACGACCTGTCTGCTGCTTTCAGTGTACATCTGCACGGGAAAGGTAAGCCATCGCGACAGAATGCACTCGTCCCGCATGCCCGTACTTACCTGGAGTCACCCAGAGCCTCGGGACGCGTGAAGACGCCGGAAGGGTCTTGGCGGCGGATGATGGGAGCCTCGGCTGCGCGAATAGATAGAGGTGGGCCCGGAACGGCGACTCAGCTCGCAGTGGGAGCTCCTCTGCGTGAGGGAGAGTACTATCGTAGATTTGGCGTGAGTGTCGGGCGAGATTGCGAGTTGGCGACGGGAGACTCACGAGCAGAGACGGGGGGTGGGCGATATCGCGGCGCAGGCGAGGCGCGAGGCGATGGAGCGGGCTGGAGTCGGGATCGGCTACGGTTGTTGATCCATATGTACGCGGCGAGCGCGGAGAGTCCGCGGGCGCTGGCAGCATCTGCGCAGAGGAGATGCTCGCAGCTACACAAGTCCGCATGTGCCGTACTATCCAAGTCCATGCGATCGAGAGCAGCGCTGTGTGCGAAAGTCAGAGAGTCACGGTCAAGAGACAGCGAGAGAGCATAGACGCCCGCAGCAAAGCCGCGTCGAGCGGAGAGACGGGCGTCTATCGCACTCTAGTGCCCACCACCGTCACTAGTAGAGCCCTGCTCTCCATAGAGCCATACTCTGGTGTCAGAGGTCAGCAATGCATCAGGGAGATCTCGCTCGCCTCTCCCCCGGCTCGTCTCCTCCGACAATCGCGGACTCCCGCCGTCGCAGCCTGTACTAGTCCGTGGCTCGCGTCCGCGGCCCAGATCCTGACTTCGACAAGTTGAGCTCAACGTCGTCGAGGACGTCCCTCACGATCTCCGCTTTCTCTCACCCGCTCATTGCTTGTTTTATCGCGCTCACTTGAGAGAATGGCCACCACCGCGTCAAGACAGGCCTCACACCCCTCACGGCGGACAAATCAATCAGTCTCCTCCAACGCCTCTGCTTCATCTTCTCGCAGCGAGAGGTCGCGGCCAGCTGAACATCTGGTTTGTTCCTCTTCAGTCTCGTCTAGACCACAAACTACCTTCTGATGCCGTCTCAGTGGCGTAGTTGGCACAAATGAGGACGCATCACCGTATCTGGCACAGTTCAAGAACCTCCAATCCCTATCGCTAGCAGGCAACTCCTTCCACTCCTACGTATCCACGGCTCTGGGTGCAGAATTCGACAGCATGCTTACAACCTGCGCTCAGCACGTGCCTGACACTCTTCTTCACCTCTCTATATGGCGAGACGCGGTATGGGCTATCCCGCTGCGGGTCCTCTCCGGGCTACAGGAGCTGTCCATGATGCACCCAAGCACCCTCGCCAAGCTTGGTCTCATCTTCGCGCACTGCGCGCAACTACGCTCCCTATCAATCACGACCATTGGCTCTAACTGCGAGCTAGAGTTGCTCACCGCGCTGCGGGCGACGCAAGACGCTCTTCCGGGCCTCACGTCATTCAAGCTCATCCTATGGGGCGAGGCGTTTGTTGCCGATCTGGGTCCGTTTATTGAGTTCTTCCAGAACAAGAAGGGGATGCGGCGGCTCGACCTCCAACTCAACCATCTTTTAATGGGCGACGATTACATACGCCTCCTCGACGTTTTTGCGCACCTTCCACGGCTCGAGGTCGTCGGGCTGGAGCTCAAAGGTTCGGGGTTCAGCAGAGAGCATCTGGCGCTGCTCGACGAGCGACTCCCGCTTGGCCTCTCGGCGCTCCTCTTGAGATGGTCGACCTATACCTTCAACGCCTTCGAGTCCGGGTCCGACATCCATCCACAGAACTGGATTGACATGGTGTGTGGCGACCCCGTTTTCTCCTCCCGGTGCCTCGCTGACCGCCCCCTGTTGTGTCCAGCTTAAGAAGCGCCCTGCACTCGGCTACCTTCACATTCTCTATCTCGAACACAATCTGTCCGTCGGCATATCGCTGGACCTGCGCGCGCGGCTGCTCAAGGACCGCCCGCGGGCGCTGAGGCTCGTTGGGTATGGCCCGCAGATACGCAGCATCGAACGCGATCCTGCGACTGGGGAGTCGGCGTACGGACCGCCCTGGTCGGATACAGCGGTCACTGTAGGGGCGGCGGAAGACTTTGGATGCGAAGACTGGGCGTGGCTGGTGAGGCACCATGCACTTTCCCTGCGGATGAGGTGATGCTGCGCGTGCGTGCGGCGCGAGCCGTCCTGCATATGAGACTGGACAAGACTTGCGGATCGACGGTGTCAGAACTAGACAGATCGTGGGTATACTGCATCTACGTTGGTGCGAGTTGGTCCACTTACGGCCGGCAGCGTCAACTCTAATACTAGTCCGATTGCTCTTACCACTTATCACTGTTCACGTTCAAGAGCGATCCATTTGGGACAACATGAGTACTAGTATACAAAATCGAAGTTGCAGCAGTCTGAGCCAGAACGTCCGGCGGCAGGGGGCGGGCTCGGTGGTATGACGATGATTTGTGGGGGCGGGGGCGGCGGGATGGGGGTCAACGTGCTGTAGTTCTTACAGCGGCGTTTCAGGGGCGATGGTTGGTGTATGCGCCCGTCGCGAGCGGATGCGAGGGACTCCTGGGCTTGGCTGGCCGCTGATATCTATGGCAATGATGAGATGGACTGGAAATTCTCGATTCGAGGCGTATCCGCACCTTGCGCTTTGCTGGGATAGTGCGGGGACGCCTGTAAGGACGGGCATCAGCCGGTACTCGCGCGCGCGAGAGAAGCACTTACGGTTCGCCTTTCCACATAGTGA